CCTGTCCCTATATTCCAGGAAGAGAAATTGAGTCATTTACTCCTTTGAGTATCCACTCCTCCTAACTTACTCAGCTAGGAGGACTTCCAGGAATTTGACCAGATTAGTGTTTCCCCAGGATATTTACTCTACTTTTAATGGCTTATCACAAAGAGATGCTACAACTCCTTTGGCCTGAATGTTCTGCGTAACCAGAGCGGTGTTTAAAAGCCACAGGAGAAGCTCAGGCACCCATATGAGAAAGCAAGGACTTTGCCCAGAAGCAAACCTCCCATAGCACGTGCTACTGCACGGTGCCCAAGGGTGCTGCGCTGGGTGGGTGGGCGGCCGTGACCCGCCAGATTCCAACTGGCAGGCTTTTCTTTCATATTCATTTAAAAAGTGGGCTTCATGGTGGGAGGGGGCTCTCAGAGCAGTGATTACTTTGAATTCATAGATAACTGGTCTTTGTCTTCTCCCCTGACCCTCTGTAGAAGCAGGACGGTGTTGATCCTCTGCGGTTGACAGGAGGAGTGTAGAGTGTGTCTCATCTAATTGGTGGGTTGGAGGGTACTTGAGAGCCTGGTAGGGAGATCCAGGAACCTCTCTCTCTGTGTCTCACTCTCTCTCTCTTTTTGATACTGGGCGTGGAACCCAGGGCTTCACACATGCGTAGGAGTGTGCCGCTCTCCCAGCCAGAAGCACCTCTTTTCGCCCCTCTCTGACTCTGTGGGAGGAACAGCCTGTACTCCACCGAGCACTTCAATGGAGCGTTGCTGAGTCCAAGACTCCAGACGGATGTACTAGAAGCAGTTAATAATGGGTTGGGATATGAGACCAGAAGTAGTCTGCTCTTTAGGAGATGTGTAGGCATGTGGGTTTTACTTTAGGTACATGCTGCTGTCTATTTGCAGGATGGTCAGGAAATAGAAGTGGTGGTCAGCAAACATAGCTAAAAGAACTGTCTCCGTCCCTTCTGGGGCTCCTCGTCCTTTTGGGCTGTGTGTTCTGCTCTTCACTTTCCCTCTGTGTGCCGTGCTGTTCTGTGCTGGGTCTAGGTTTTACATTGTGTTTGCTCTTAATTTGGCCTGTGTTCCGTGGTAGACAGACTTTCTAGGAGGGGGAAAGCCAGCTCTGAGTTGCCGTACGCGCCACTTCCTAGGGTGTAAATGCTGCCACTGCAGCGGACCTCAAGCTGCCAGTGTGCTGTGCTGTGACTGAAGGTGGAGTTGGGGAGAGCCGCGGGTGGCCTCTGTGAGCCGCCTAGAGCCTTCTTCAGGAGGGGACAGCTGGTGTCCTCGCTCTGTTTCCTCTGTGTGGAGAGGTTACCCTCTCCCTTTGTACCGCCCCTACGCTGGCCTGCCGCCTGCAACTGCTTTCCTCAGGGCCTTTGTTTTTTAATCTCTGTTTCGGTGGTGCTTTAGATAAGGCAGCCAGTCTCTGTGCTCCACCTAGGCTTGCGCCATCTGCTTCGTTCAGTGATTAAGAGGGACTCATCGCACTCTCTGATTTTAAAGTTGGTGAAATGGGGAAATTTCATTGTGGATACTTGGATTAAAGATTTCTTGTACATAACTATGAAATAGTCCTTATCTCCACCCCGGAGCTGCTCACAGATACTTGTTAATAATTTCATTTTTGTTATCTTCTTGTGGGATGCACTGTCATGTATTTGAATCACTTGTTTCCCTTTTCTTTTTTTTTTTTTTTTTCTTTTTTTTTTTTTTTTTTTTGACATTGTACGTGTTTTGAACAGCTCTTTCCCTTTTCATACTGTGAAATGTTTCAGGAGGGAAGTCGCTTTTTTTCTATTTCGTATGTCCAGGTTTTTCAATCAGCCATTTGTTGAAGGAACAGTGAAAACGAGGCACGTCAGTTTTCAGTCATATAATCACAAGAGGTCATGCCTGAAGAAGACATTTGGAATGATCCAGGTTAAAGTGAGAGTTGAGCCCAGTGATGGTGTGAGTCCTGTAAGGAAAACGTGGGAGAACCTGGGACTAAGTCTTGGATCCCGTCCACGCATTGGAGCAAAGGAAGCAGGGCAGAGGGATAAAGAGGTTTCGTGTTGAAGTGCTTCATGTAATGTTTCATGTTTTGCTAAAGTTGATGTCTTTCCAAATGTGAGAGCCCTAGTCAAAGTGGGTAGAAGTCCATGGTCCACGACACGTCGTAGCATACTCCTAACACCAGGACTGCTGTTGGGCAGCTGCAGTGTGCTATGGACATCCTGGATGAGAGCACTAGAGGGGAGTGGAAAAATAAGTCCTACTGCGAGGCAATTCAGGATGATGTGAGTGTAATGTTATAGCCAGGCGTTTGCACAGAGTATGTCCATGCTCTTAAAACCACCAGAAGTTACTGCTTTAAATCAATAGGTAGCAGTCCATTACCATGTCAGCAACTGGAGCCCACAAATAAAATAAGAAACAGCTCTTGCCTACTAACTAAAGAGAGAAAAGCTATCTCCGTGAAGTGACTAGAGAAAAGCAATTAACAAGATGCGGATCTGTGACCCCAAATTAGGCAGCACATAATAGAAGTAGGTTCTTTAAGAACAAATTGAACACTTGATAAAGAAGAAAGGGGCTTTTTAGTGAAGAGGAAAAGCACAGAATAAGAATTGTGTATGTGGAGAAGAATGTGAGACACAGGGGAAATTTTTGTTATAAAAGGTAATAGAGGGCTGGGCATATAGCTCACTCAGTTGTTAGAGTGCTTGCCTTGCATGCACAAGTCCCTGGGGTCAATCCCCAGTACCACCAAAAAAAAAGGTAGATATATCCCTAAGGGATAGCTGAATTCCAGAATTATTTATGAGTTCATTGCCCATATGCTGTATTGAAAATAGTTATATAAAATCAGTTTTTCAAAAGTATATAAGTAATGTTAGTATCTTTAATATTTTTTCAAGTTAATAAACAGAGTAAAGGATTACCTCTTCTCTGTATTCCTGACCTTTATTTGAGGGTAACTGCTAATATATTTCTTCAACATTCTTATGAAAATATTTCACTATATACATATTTTGTCAATATGGCTCATTTATATTCTGCAGTCTGCTTTGTTTTCACTAAATGTATCTTAGAGGTCTTTCTGTATTGTCATATTGATTTATCTTATTTTTTCACTCTATGTACCAGTACCAAAACATTTTTTTTAAAAATGCACCTCAGGGTGTCTCCCTGCCATTAAGTGTCGCATGACTCCGTGAGGAAGCCTCTCATGTTCCCCTTCCCCCACCCTCTACCCGCCTTTGCACAGACCTTTATGTATCGTTGTCAGGGGAAAAATACAGAAGATCACTGTTTTCTATGGCTCTGGGTCTCCCTTGCTTTGCATGGGACTGTGTGCACCAGCTGTTCTTAACGTCCTTCATGGCAACTCATCAAAGTCTGTGATGGCCCCTTTATTGTCTGTGCTTGTCTTGTGCCACCCTGGGTACCTGAATGCTAGGCTGAGAGCAGCCAGGGGAACCTCTGCCTGGTAACTATCATTGATTGGCGTTCCCAGGCTGAACCGCACCCTTGCATCTGTTGAAGTGATCGCTAGAGGTGCCATCCGTCCTGACGTCCTGTGTCAGTCTGTCCATGTCTCAACTTTCCTTTTTCCCTTCTTTTCCACTGGATTTTAACAGACTTCTGACAGGGCTGGGATGTTACTCGGTGGTAAAGCACTTGCCTAGTATACGTGGCGAGACCCTGGGTTCAATTCTTAGCACTACAAACACCAAACAAAACAAATAAACAAAACCTTTGATGAATGATGAGTAGATCTGCGATGTGGAGGTCCTTACTTCTAGGTCCCACTCCAGCCTTCAGCTCCTTGGGCTTAGTGTCAGTAAAGCAATTATAGAACAGTTTGGAAGCAAAGGCCATGACCTTGGATCCCATGTATGTCACTCCTCCCTTGGTTTCCTAAAGTTTGGGGGTATTAGAGGGTCCGTCTCTCTTGGAGTCTGAGAGTCTTTGAATAGTGGGATCCCTCCTTCTGATGATATTTGTGTCAAGGGTTCATCATTCACCAGTACCATCCCCCAGAATGATCAGATGAAACTCTATATTTAAGGATGATATTTTGAAATGAAAACTTGTAATAACAACGATAGATTGAATTATTTCATTTTCTAGGTAAGACATCAATGGAGGCAATGTTTATTGGAACATTTCACATTTACCGTCTTCCCCAATGCTGAATTTGTGAAATTACTAACTTTAAAAACTAAACTCCTACTTAAAATTTTAATGCCTTCATTTTCTTTCTGCACCACCCTTTGGATTTCTTTGCCTCATGTATACAAATTTCTAGAAATCACAAGCCTTAGGAGGTTTAAACTAGAATCTCATCAGTTTGATGTTTACCAAAAGGTGTTGGTTCAGAGGAAAAAGGGCTGTGCTGTCCCTCAAAGTGGCCTCATTTTCCGCATGGTCTGTTTCCTGAAAGGTCGTACCATACAAAGAGAACGTGGAGTCCATGATTGAAAGAAAGGAGAAACTTAGCAAGTTTTGTAGACACTCAATGGATGGTTGTTCACTTCCCACCCATCTTCTCTCCTATGGAATAGGGTACCATTCCTAGCCAGTGTTATAGGATTGGCTACCATCTATTGTCTGTAAAAGTCCTTGCTTCCTGGAACCCGTGGGTCCTTTCCACATTGTCCCCTACAAGCACGTTGGTAGAACAGCAGAAGGCCCACTGACAGGAAACCTGACTTCCTGGCTAGGCCGCAGCAGATGAGGGAAGAAATACTCTAGGGTTACAAACACTGATTAGAGAGAAGACCCTTGATTTGTTAGTAAAGGCAGTGGTACCCTATTCCATCAGTACCTACCTTGAGAAACGTGGGCAACCTCGTGGCTGGTAAGTTTAGACCCATTATGAAGACTAACCATAGAAGTCGTCCCCTTTGGTTCTATTATACTTCTGTGGGTGTATAAAAGAGGGTAAGTGAAAGGCAGAAAGCCTCCAGCTTGGATCAGGGACAGGCAGAAGAAACAGGTGTTTCTTTCTTTATGTTTTAGAAGTTCACCTGGACCCCCACCGAACGTGGTGTCCTGTTGCAGACTGTCAGACAGTGTGCCCTGTTGCAGCAAGTGACCCAGGACAGCCAGTGCTGGTGGAATGCCCTTCCTGCCACCTGAAATTCTGCTCATGTTGCAAGGATGCGTGGCACGCCGGGGTCTCCTGCAGAGACAGCCATCCCATCGTCCTGCCATCCGAGCACGGGTAAGGAAGGGACTGTCTGAGATTACTCAGGGGTGTTCTCGGACACCCAATATGGGTTCCCTGGGAGAAGGGGTGATCATAATGGTATTCAGAGACTTGTTATTTTCTTATACAATATCCCTGAGCAGTGTGTCAGAGTTGGTAAATCGGTAACAGAATAATGACAAAAGCATTTCTAAAAGGGATTTTAGTTACTTGACCCAAAAGAATCTTCCAGATATGGTGAAACTAGAGCTTGTATGAATTTAGCTTTCTCTTGGGTAGAGAGGCTCCGTGCTCCAGGGTTCTCGGTAGAAGGTGTGACTTGTCCACAACCATCTGCTTGGGTCCCACATCTGCCTGCTCGTTGGGGTAGCTTGTTCTTTCTATGTGCAGAATGAGACAGATTATTTTCTTACCTGATGAAATCGCCAGCTCCTGAGGTGTGCCAATCAGAGCAGAGAGAGCCCAGCAATACAGTAACAGTCCTGAATTCTTGGGAAATATAGGAAGAGAGCTTCTCCTAGCACTTTATTCTCTGAAAAGATGGAGCCGAGATTAAGATTTTGTTATGATGAGAAGCTGTGAAATCAGCACCTTTTCGTTTGGAAGGTTTTTTGTGGCAGCAGCAGGATCCTGAGTGAGAAACCTTTATGTTGGATCTTTGCTTTGCTTGAGGCTGTGGCTGCTCTGCATTGGCAAGAACAAAATGCCAGTGTTCTGGGCCGGTTGGCATTGTCACCCTGGGCCCTCCGAGTGTGCAGACCAGTCTTCAGGAAGGGTAATGCTGCCTGGAGGTGCAGCTGTGCTCAAATCTCAGACCAGACGAGGGGAAAATAGACCTACACACACAGCAGGCACCAGCTCCTTATCCAGATTCAGGGCCCTGGCCTCCCAGGCAACGTGAAGAACTGCAGGAGAGGATGACATGAGTTCTGACAGTGTCACTTGGCATCTGAGTGTCCTTACACAGACACTCTTCCTGAATCTCTTTCCCCACTAGCAAAACAGGTATAAAAATAGAGACTGTCCCCCACACCCCTATGTAAGGCTCTTGCCTGTACCAAATCTGGTCATAGAGTGGGCAGCACTCTGTGACCGAGATGCCCCTGGGCAGGGAGGTGGTCTTGAAAAACAAGAGCCAAAATGTAACCTGGAGCTCTGGCCCCTCCCTCCCACCAGTTGGTCCCACTTCTTGTTTTCTGTGCCCCTTTAGGCTGTGAGCCTGTACTGGCCTATTCATCTAATATTTTACAGAACCCCTCTCCTCCATTTATCGAATGAGCAGATCACTAGATGGACAACGCACGCCCCATTTGGACCCTGAGCCAGTTTCTCTCTGCTGTAGCTCACTCCTCCAATTTATTATTCAGTGCACTCAGGAAATGAAATATTAATTTGACAAAGCAATGAGTTAAATCAGCTGTGGAAAGTGTAATTATATAATTGACCGAAAGCCAAAGTAAATATTCTTTCTTATTTTGAGTTATCTGAACAACTAATAATCTGTTTCTCCTATTTTTATCCCCACCATTTTTTTTTTTTTTTTTTGAAAGTGGATTTTAAGCACAGGTAACTGAGAGCTCCTTCCTGACCATCTGGAGAGCTGGGAAATCAGTCGATGACCATCAGTTGAATTCAACTTTCCCTCTATTTTGTTTCTAGGGCCCTCTTTGGGACAGATGCAGAAGCCCCCATTAAGCAGTGCCCAGTGTGCCGAGTTTATATCGAACGCAACGAAGGCTGTGCCCAGATGATGTGCAAGAACTGCAAACACACGTTTTGCTGGTACTGTCTACAGAACCTGGACGTAAGTTTCCAGCTGAAGAGGCCCGTCGTGTGGTCTTCCCTGCACTGTATCTGCACCACAGCCTCTGTCCACAGCTGCTCCTTTAAAAAGGTTGAATGTGGAGCCTATGTTGTCCTGAAAAAGGTCTTTATTTTTCTTAATGAGACTTCCTGAGCCTGCCACATTGTTTTTCTTCTTCTTCCTTTTTTTTTTTTTGGCTGTGCTGGGGATCAAACCCAGGCCCTTGTGTATGCCAGGCAGGCACTCCACCTTTGAGCTCTACCAGCCACTCCCCTCCTACCTGAGACTACTGTAAACCCTTTCTTTAGCTTCCGTAGCTTTTTAAAAAAAAAGCTTCTGTTTTAGCGGCATTTCTTTCTTGCTTTCTGACCATTTTCCCACTCTAGTTTGTGGGGGCCTATTAGTGTATCAGTTTTGTATTGCTGTTGTAACAAATCATCATAAATTTTGTGGCTCAGGACAACACAAGTGCATTATTTTGTATTTCTGTACATAAGAAGTCCAACTCAGATCTTACTGGGTTATAATCAAGGTTGCAGAGGAGAATCGTTTCCTTTCCCTTTCTACCTTCTAGAGGATGCCTACATTGCAAGGCGATGATCCCCTTTCTCCATCTTCAAAGCCAGTAACAGCACATCTCTCTGCTCCTCATTCCATAGTTGCTGTGCCCTCTGACCACAGCTGGACGATTCTCTGCCTTTGAAGACCTGTGTGATTAGATTGGGCTCATTTGTATTATTCTGGATCCTCTCCTCCACCTCAAGGTCCTTGATTCAATCATACTTGCCGAGGCCTGTTAGCCATTTACGATAACATATTCACAGATTCTGTGGCTCAGGCTATGGGTGTCTTTGGGGACACTTGTTCTGTCTTCTATAATTAGATTATTTTCCTCTGTCTGAATTCAAGGAAAACAAGAGTCCAGATCAATGGCACCTCTTAACTGGCTCTTGTTCAGCGGCGCGGCAGCAGTATTGGTGGTGTTTTGTCCGTGTTCCTTTCTGGCTCTGGGGACTTGCCTCGTCACGGTTTCCTCTTGCCATTCATGTGGCCTGTCTTCTCAGCTCCAGCTGCAGTGCCTTCAGCCTTGTGCCAAGGTGCCTGGTCACCTCAGAGTTGACAGTCTTACTCTGATTCTAGTCTTTTAGAGTTGGGGCAGCACAGAATGTCTGTAGATTTTCCCTCCGTGGGCAGTTTGGACCTATAATATGAGACCAAATCAATTCAAGCCTCCGTCATGGCTGGGTGGCCATTCTTTTCTCAGCTCTCGGTTTTGTTGCTTGGTTTGCTTTAATTCAACAGGCAATTTCTCTCTGTGAGTGAGAGTGCAGGTAAGAGGGCCGCAGTGTGTGGGTGTTTAGCCACAGTGTGGCTGGGTTCAGTCCCCAAGGCGGCTGGGCCCAGGAGACTCTCTTCAGGAGTCAAGACTCTCAGGAACTAAATGTGTGCTCCGGATCTCTGTCCCGAGGCCGAGAGACGCTGTGGGATATGTGGAGAACACTGTGTTCTGTCACGATGCCGCTGGTCCTCGAGATGAAATGGGACAGATGTTAAATGGCTGAGCACACAGATTTTAAGTGTTGAAGCGTCTTTTTTGCCACGGTGTTCTGAGATCCATTTGCTCTGTTTTGGCCCAAGGCATTGGCTTGTAGGTAACTGTTTTCTCCAGGCAACTCCCCTGGGTCACATGACGGTGTTGATGTCTGTGTGTGTGAACCTTGAGAGGCTGGGGCCGGGAGAAGGGGCACTGAGTCTGTCTGCCCCAGAGATTTTGAGTGAACTGGGGCAGGCACTGAGTTTTTTCCTGCCTTGACCTTCATCCCTGCAGTTTCAGAGGCTGAAATGTTATTTTTTTCGAGGGTGAGAGGGTGTTGCTCCAGGGATTGAACTCAGGGGCATTGACCACTGAGCCACCTTCCCAGCCCTACTTTGTATTTTATTTGGAGACAGAGTCTCACTGAGCTGCTTAGTGCCTCGCTGCTGCTGAGGCTGGCTTTGAACTCACGCTCCTCCTGCCTCAGCCTTTCCAGCTGCTGAGATTGCAGGCGTCTGGCACTGCGCCTGGCTGAAATGATAACAGTGTGCTTGGGAATCCTGTTCCCATGGGTGGCCTCAGAGACTCCCCCCTTTGGTTATCTCTCCTCTATGCTGGGGCTTGAACTTCCTCTCTCTACTCCTTCCATGTCCACCTGTGCCACCCTGCGCCATGTCAAACCAGACTTTCCTCTAGCCTGCCCTCTGCTTCTCTCCAGCCTGGTCGCCCCTTGCTGCTGGCCTGTACTCACCCCAGGCAGGGCAGTGTGCAGGGCAGTGTGCTCACATTGCCGTGCCCACACACTGATTGGGTTCTTTCCAGGGTTTTGAGTGACTTCTTCTTGGTAGAGCCCAATGGAGACTTCAGATTGCACGTTTAATACCTAGGCCGCCTCCGCTGCAGCTACCATCCCCACTGGCTCCCTCCTCCTCTTCTGGCCGAGTTCTGGTCCCCTTCCAGGCTCTTCCTTGATCCATTGTTAAGGGTGTGATCGGCAGCATCTTGCTCTCAGTGGTGCTCTCCCTGGGCACACTCATTCACATCCGTGATTCCTTTCACCCCATGGACTCGGATGCCCAGGTCCCCCCGCCCAAGCCAGATCTCTGGACTGAGCTGCCCTTTGGACAGTACTACCTGGATGTCTCCCCTGTCTGCAAGTTCAGCATCGTGTGCAAACCATGATTATCGTCCTTCCCCCGAAGCATCTCTGCATTATCAGATTTCATGTCTTCTTCAACCCCTTGTCTGTGGCTGTGTCTCCTGCTGCCCCCTCTAGTTGAAACCTCTTCTCCGTCTGGCATTCTCCAGGGCATTTCCCTCTCCTGGTTTGGGGCAGCGTCCTTTGAGCTGCCTCAATCCTGGCCCTTCCATTCCATCTCTGCCTCTGCTAATGCTCTCGATGACCTTCCCAAGGTCATTGACCAAGTCATCCCACTTTTTTTGTAGAGCCAATCGAGAGTCTCATTGACCACGATCTCTTTCACTGGGTGCTTTATAAAACTACCTTGATGAGTGAAAGATGGCAGGCTGGGAGTTCCTAGAGGAGGGTCTTCATGTCACCCGGTGACTGGTGTGGTTGATGTCCTCCTCTCTCTCAATTTGAACTGCATGTTCCTGAAACCTCTCCCTTTGTTTTCCAGAATGACATTTTCCTCAGACACTATGACAAAGGACCATGCAGGAATAAGCTGGGCCACTCAAGAGCCTCAGTGATGTGGAACCGCACACAGGTAGTCTGACCTTGAAAGGATGTGACAGAAACCAGGCTGGTGAAGGCTTAGGGGGCCGGCCTCTTTGTCCCCTACGCTATTCCTTCCTTACCCATGCTGGCCTGGGAGGGGCTGGGGGGTTCTGGGGCAGGGAGAGGCCAAGGTGGGGGCAGCTGCCTGAGGATAATTCATGAGCCAGACAGGCTCCGTGAGGACACGTGAAGGGGCCGAGGCACCAGAGAGCCCCACAGTCCCAGAGCCCTACAGAACACGGGCGGATGTTCTGGAACACGGGAGAGGTCCTTCCTAAGACCCTGTGGGCACATTAGCTATCAAAGGCCGCGCTCTAAAGTCGTGCTCGCCCTGCTAGGACTTAGGTCCTTCTGTGCAGGCCACCGTGTGTTCAGTGGAGGTTCCAAGGGAGCCATGGTTCATTTTCATAGTTTTTATATTTATCAAAGCCTTTGCTCCTTTTGGTGGAGTTGATGCTAGTATCCTGCTGATCATTATCAACTCCACTCTGAGACCATTGGGGAAACTCAGGTAGAGAACAAGCTGATGCCTATATATAGTTCACAGATCTGTTGAGCTTGCAGTGAACTCTGGTTAGTACTCAAGGGTTTGTCCTCCCCCTGGACTTGGTCCATTTTATCTTTTTAGTTTATGTCCAGCTCAGACCATTGCTGAACACTGGCTGAAGTTCCCATAAATGTAACTATCTCTTGTGCCTGAGATGATGTCTTAGTCTTAGGCTACTATAACAAATGTTCATAGGCTGGGTGACTTAAACAACAAAAATTTACTTCTCACAGTTTTGGAGTCTGGGAAGTCTAAGCTCTGGGTGCCAACATGGTCAGATTCTGGTGAGGGTTCTCTTCCTGACTCACAGATGGCCACATTCTTGCCATGTCCTCACATGACACACACAGAGAGGGAGATAAGAAGAAGCAAGTTCTGTGGTCTCTCTTCTTATAAGGACACTGATCCCATCATGAGAGTTCCACCTAATTGACACCCAGAAGCCCCATCACCAAGTATTATCACCCTGGGGATTAGAGTATCAATGTGCAAATTTGGAGTTGGGGGGACACGAGCTTTCAGTCCATAGGAAATGGTGCAGTTGGAATAACTACACACGTAAGAAAACTTAAGTGCTGACGTCAGCTTTCTTTTAAACTCCCAGGTGGTGGGAATTCTGGTGGGATTGGGCATCATCGCCTTGGTGACGTCACCACTGCTACTTCTGGCCTCCCCATGCATAATCTGCTGTGTCTGCAAGTCCTGTCGGGGCAAGAAGAAAAAGCACGACCCCTCTACAACCTAAGAAGATCTCTGCGTGCACGTGCCACAATCGTCTGGGTTACCTGAGACAGCACAGCGCTAAAGCCCCACTTAGTGATCTTGCCTCCTTCCCCTCGCCAAACTTTGGAAGTGCCTCTGCGTCCAGACTTTGAACTTGCCTTCCAGCCTCGGCATCAGAAGAGGCTGAGTCCTGGGTGCAAGTGTTCCAGTGTAACCAGAGCTGCCGCCGCCGCCGCCCCAGGCTGTGCCCGCGGAGCATGTGGGGAGCTTTGGGGTTGCTCGGGAGGAACTAACAAACCATTTTATCATCTGGACGATCCCACTGGACTGTTCATCTTCCAGCCAAATCCAAGGAGGCTGAGCGAACGTTTAATATAATAAACGTGTTGTCGCGGTTGGCAACATTCATGCTAACTGAGAAGAAGAGTCTGCTCTGTTTGATTTGAGCACCATGAGAAATGGGGAAACCCGTTGTAGGAGGGGAAGGCTCAGACTGCGTGTGAGAGATTCTCCTAAGAGCTACAAAGCAGGCTGCTTATCTGAGCAGCTGATAGTTGTGCCTCTGCCCGTTACTGGGTGTGCTGTTCCCAGTGTTCCCACAGTGACTTGGCAGAAACACAATGGGTTTCTCTTCGTGTGATCTCAGCTTCAAGCAGTGGAGACTGCTGTGCAGAGGGAGTTGGCCCTTCCCAGTGAAAGGGTTGCAGCCCGAAAAACAACACGGTCTAATTTAGTGTCTCTCCTTTGGCAAATGTTACTTTCCTAAGGTGACCAGCTTGTCTCTCACAGCCAGTAGCTGTGGTCTGAGGGATTGGTTCATATGAAATAGGGGTAGAGTGGTAGAGGCTCAGAACATTCATCACAGATGACAAGGACCTTCCCTGGGCTCTGTGTTCACACACCCAACAGATCTGGGCTTGGGTCTGAAAGTACACGACAGAGTCCATATGTCCCCCTAGAAGCCCTGTGGCTTGCAGGCTATCTGGAATTTCTATCCACTGGGCACACATTATATGCTAAATAGTAGAAACAAATATTTCCCTAAAAGCCATTCTCTCGTCCTAGAACTAAAATGGCTCATTATCCATCAACCTAAAGAATTTTTGCACAGTATATAGATGTACATGTGGGTTGCAAGTTCATGACTTACACAAGGGGATAGACCCAGAAAGACGACTCTTTTTTAACACAGTACTCAGTTCAAATCATACCATGTCTATAAAAACATGCATTGATAACCAAGAGATTTACCTATTTTCCAACGATTCAGAGCAGCTCTCTTCTCTGAATAATTTAGTATTTCTCTATCTGCAGCTGTGAAGACATCTGAATACTTTCTGTATGTATAAGGCACCGATAAGACAACAACAAGATATGTAAGAAACAAAATGGGAACGCTATTATATATCTGAAAGAGATTTATATCACCTCATTGTGACTTACTTTTCCCATTACACCATTAGTCAGACTTGCATAAATGGGCCTTGAAAGACAAAAACATTCTCTCCAGTGACAGGATTATATTATTGCCATCAGCAGCGCAGCCTGGTGGTTCACAAGAGCTGTGCTAAATGTTAACTGAGACCTCTCCCCAAAGCCAGGGACGCCACACTGGGAAAAATCAGGGCCCGTCAGATTTTCTGAGGTAACTAGATTATTAAATTGCTGCTATCCTGGACCCCTAATTAAAGTTGATGCTTTTTCTATGTGATGGAATGTATCCTAAGTGGGGATGTGTATATTTAAGGAATTTTAAGTCACACATACATATTGATATCTGATATACATAGAGCACATTCATGGGTCATGTCCTTTTTTATTAGTGTATACTAATTATACAGAATAGTGGGTTCCGTTGTATCATGTTTGCATATGCATTTACATGGGGTTTGATCATTTGTCTTGTACTTTTTCATTTATAGTTTGAACTCTGGGAAAACTTTTGAATGGCAGCCACCCCAAATAATTTTTAATCATTAATCAGAAATTTCTCAATAGTGACTTTGAATCTTTTAATACTTCAGGAAAAAAAAAAACTCCATCAGTGTATCTCATGTTGTTATAAATATAAATGTACATATATTTGAATAGTTATTTGCTTTGTTTTACACATAGACTACTTCCTCATTATAGGTAAAGGGCATTTGTAACTGCTCAGGGGATCATAGGAACCCAACTGAAACTGGATTTTTGTACCAAGTTGTACCAAGTTTGTACCAGTTGTGGCAATGCACACCTCTGTTAGTAACCTCTCTGAGCTTGGTTCACAGAGATTCTCCAAACAGGGGCAGATTTCAAGTAACCCGAGTGCTGTGTTCTTATGAATTTGTAGTAAAGGTAGAAGAAAATGTCTATGCTATTTCCTTGGCAAAATTAAAGGGATTTATCTTCTCACAGACATTTTATAACATAATTAGCTACTTTTTTTTTTCCTCTGCCAGGGCTAGGGAAGGGGGGGGGGGGGGGGTGTTTGTTAAACTGATTTTAAATAAATGGATTTAATATTTTTTAATGTTGTAAAGTGCCTGAAAAAAAATGGTGACTGAAAATGCCTGTGAGTCGTCAGAATCCACAGGAACAGGTGGGTAGTTTGAACCCACACGTGTCTCTGGTACGACCAAGGGCACAGAGCAAGCCAAGCCAGAGACCTCGTTTACACAGGAGAGAGCTGATGGCCTTGGTATGGGAAGCTGATGCTTTCCTGTCTGGTAATCGGCCAGGACAGAGTATATACAGCTTGTCCCCTGCTTCTTTCAGCTCTGTCTTACTTACCCTGGTGATTCTGTTTTAGGAAAAACGCCTGCATCTACATAAGATGTTTGGATGTTGTGACAAAGATCTCCTTGTGTTTGGAGTAGTGCGGTCCATTTGAAATAGAATTCAAAAATCCTCCACCAAATTGCAATCTGGTGTAATAAGCCACCATCCAGAAATGCCACCAGCTATTACGACACACCATCTAGCTGTTGTTGCCCCTTCTAGGAATTTTTTTTCATGTTATTGGGTAGGGAGGAGGAGGAAAGCTGACTGAAAGCCAGTGTTAGAATCTTAGGCATCCTATTTGTTCATGCCCCGGGTATTTGCTTTGGACTTGAAATCTGTACTTTGAAAGCAGCCTTTGAAAAACAAATAATTCGCAGTGTGAGTTTTCTTGGAGCCTGCATCACACAAATCTTATCTATCCAGGTTTGAAAATCTACGTGTGTTTATTTCAATGTAAATCACTGGGAACCCTAAGTTTTCTCTGAAAATTATTCAGAATCTAAATATGTATTTCCTTATCCTTCCCTACTCAGTGCACCTGTAGGATCTCTCTTTCTGTTCATGAATAGATGCCTTTATGTGCGTAGAATAAGTGTCTGTGTGCAGCTTTAAGGACAATTTCAGAAATGCCTTAGGTGACTGACATTTGATAAAGCCGCCAGAATTGATACCTCTAGGCTATTATATCTCCTGTCGATTCAAGACCCAGAAAGTTTGTTATGTGCTTTAAAAATTGTATTATATTTTTCCAGTTCTTTGGGAGGAAAATAACTGTTTTAGTTTCTCTGACCCCAATAAATGTGAGCAGGAAATCAAGTGTGTTAACCTGTGTTGTGCTGGATGATTCTAGACGTTCAGTTTTATCCTCTGAGAACCAACCAAATCACTGTCAAACCTAGGATCAGAATTTGCAAGAAGTACCAGAATGTGCAACCCCATCCACGGAAATGAGTCTCGCCACTTTGCTGCTTAAAAGAAAGGGAGGCGAGTGTAATGGCTTCACTTGTTGCAGACAAGTCCCACACTTCCAGTGCACAGGAAGGGGTCCCACACTTCCAGTGCACAGGAATTGATCATTATTTAGAAAGAGAACTAAGAGTGTTATGTCTTTAATCATTCTGATTCAAAATAAAATGCTGCCTGGTGTCAAAGTCACTGGTCTTACGAATAAATCAGGGTGGGACTGAGGTCAAGGTGAGTTCCATCCTTCCAAAAGCCTGTCAGAAGCCTGTGTTTCCTTGTTAAGAGTTTTAAAGGAAGGACTTACATGGGTGTGGGAGGGCCACTTCCCTGGGATCAGTATTCAAGGCAGACCTGGTCTTGGGTTGAGTGCCAGCAGCTGGGGAACAGCTAGAACTTGTGTTTCTCTCAAACTGAAAGCTCACTGTGCTGGAGTTATTGCCTTTTCATTGGATAGAAGAGTGCCCTAAAAGGGTACCTGAGCTCAAGGGTCTACAGTTGACCCGTAATTCAGATTTCATTGTCATTGTTTTGGAGAAATCAATAAGATCGTATAAAAAACACTTTTGGGTTATGGTTTCTTAATTTTCTTAATCATCTCCTAGAATGTCAACAGTATTTCATTTTCAAAGCGTGCTGTTTGCCGAGCCTGAATTTGCATTCCCAAAGAAATATTGAATGAACTATTTTATATAGCAGTGATTTTTAATCAATGCCCTAACCAGCAAACTCATTGCGATGTAAATTATGAATCTAGTGAAGCTGGAGGAGAATTATAATTAGGTTTTTCTGTAATTCAATTATTTTAATTTGTTAGATAATAAATCTGTTTTTTTCTGTAGACCCTAAAGATTATATCCAACTCTACAGCATGAGAAAGAAATGCATTTCTTCAAATAATTTGTAAATAGCAATTATAATGTTTTATTTATATATTTTTGTATAAACTATTTAAAGAATTTTTGAGAATAATCCTGTCAGATAATGAAGCAGATGTTAGATCCATTGCACAGAGAAAGCGATGGTTCAGGGGTTAACGTTTTGCCAAGAGTCATACTGCTGATGGGGGGGGGGGGGGGGGGGCAGCCAGAAGAGCAGAGGACCCCTAGAAAGCACTTCAGTGTCCATCACCTACATCAGTAATGTCAAGCCTGTTTCCACACACAGGTCTGTGAGTTCTGAGGGAATGAACACCCCCCTCAATTATCTGCCCCAATGGAGGTATAGGTAGGAATCCTTTCTATTTCAAATCATCATTGAGAATGTGTGCTTCGGGGTGTGTGACAGTATGCCAGGGCAGACAGGACCCCCTGAGGACCACCCCCATCACCCCTGTGGCTCAGCTAGGGGATGAGGATGATTCACTAGAGAAATAACAAGGCCCTGCGCGTCTGACTTCCCAATATCAGAAGCACAACAGCCGGCGAATCCGTGAACTTCAGAAGGCAACGTGCCCATCTTTCCCCAGTGAAGTGTGTTCCCACGGTGCCTTTTGATGTTTCCAATCCAGACTCAAAGCCATTGTCGACCAGGTCCAAAGCCTGTCTTAGTAACTTCTCCATTTGGACTCAAACATGTACTTGTGGCCTATCATTAAATAAATCAAAGGGCTGTTTTGAAAGCTAGAGATGGGGCTCTGGATAATGAACTTGCTGGATGCATTTATGATGTGTGTGAACAAGCTGTGCTTTGAAT